AAACACCCCGTCTTGCTGAGATGATGATTTTTTTTTTGTTTACTTTTTTTTTTCCCCCTGCGAAACGTGTTCTAACTGAAACCATAAACCCCGAGGTGGGAAGTGCAGCAGCTCTGCAGCTGAGAAAAGGAGAAGCAGCGTTTCCCATCGGGCACATCGCCCCCTGGCAGCTGGGAACGACAAGTTGCTCGTTTTTATAGTTAAAAGAAGAGTAAAACCTGTATCTAAGTGCTCTGGCTTTATTCCTCTCCCCCCTTCTTGGGCGATCAGCTAATAGCTGGTGTATCATCCGTGCAAGATATTTTTGTCCAGTCAAAAATGTAACTGCACTGAGCAATACTCTGTGCTGGGTTATATCAGGGTCTCATCTCTATCAAGGCTCTGTTTTCTCTTCTCTCAGTTGCAAAACTGGTCAGAAATAGTTCCTCTTTGCTGCTGATCATCGAGGGTGATGTGTCAGTTGTGCCCAGGTGGATGGATCCCGTGTGGTTGTTTCATGGAGGTGATTCCCAGCCAGTTATCCCACTGGAAGCTGTTGTGTGGCATGGAGACCAGGCCAGTACAGCTGCTCCAAATGGGAGCACAGAGAGCAAGGAGAGAGGAGAGGACTGGGCAGGGCTGAGGCAGTGGGAAGGAGTGTTGGGAGGCAGCAAATGTTTGTTCTAAAGCAGCTCAGCATCTGCTCAAGTGCTGTGAAAACCATATAAAATCCTACAGTCAGATCTGATCTCATCTGCTTGATGTATCAAGCAGTTTTTTCCTACAAAACTTTAGGTAAACAAATAATACACAGTTTTAAGGATCTACTTTTATGTTATGTCCTATGATTATTCAAATAAGGCAGGGCTATATATTTTTATAGTGGAAAAGTTTTATCAGCATTTAGGAACTGGTGACACAATAACCTAATGTGATCATAACCTGCACTGGAGCTCTTTGAAAAGGTAGGTTTCTCAAGCTTGTTTTCAGTCTACAAAATGCTCTGTTCTACTCATCAGCCATTCGTGCTTTTAGCTGGGGCAGATGTTTGCTTTGAGGGCATCCCCTGATTGCTCCTGCAGCACAGAGTTGGTCTCAGGCACAAACTGGATTCTGCTCAGATGACAAGAAGCTGAAGGAAGTGCAGCAAAAAGGCCCCCCAGGTGCTCCAACTGCCAAGGGGCGTTGGCCCTGCTGACCACCAGACATAAGCCAGTTTAAGAGGGAACAAAGGGAATGCCAATGGTTGAGGCCACTGCACCAGTTGCTTGATGCTGCTTTTGTGAGCATCCTGCAGGATTCTGCAGGAGGGAGAGGTTTGATTGTAGAAGAGCAGCACAGAAATCTTGTCAAATTCCACCCTCATGCAGGAGCTACGTGTCAAAATACACATTTAGCCTCCTGGTTTTGACATTGGTGACTTACCTGCTCATTAGAGCCACCTTTTTGTTTGGTTTTGCTCTCATTTGCTTCCCTTTTCTCAGAATGCTTCTGTGATCAGACAAGCTTGTATCAAGACTGACTTTGCTTTCTGTACTCAAGTGAATGAGGTCACTGAGAGGCTGGACCATCTCATCTGCTGAGTGAGCTCGGGTGTGTGAAGGGGGATTCAGATTTTCAGTTACCTCTAGGGGATGCTGTTGTGTTAAAAGTTCCAGGGTTGAAAGCGTTTTCTGTCTGTCTGTGGGTGTTCATCCTCCCTGCAGGAGTGTGTGCAACCCTCTGGGCAGTGCCCTCGCTCCTGGGAAGCAGAGCTCCTGCAGCACCCACTTGTGCCTGCACACGTGTGGGAGAACAGAGTCAGCTAACAAGGGTCCTGGGGTGATGTTCATTGCTTGCTTTTCTCTCTGTGTTGCGTCTGACCCGCTGATGCATTGATTATTGATTCCAGTTCAACTGGTGAAGTGTTTGAACTGCAGTTTGAATCAAACATTTGGGAATTCTTTCCTGTCAGGAGCAGAGGACTCTGCAGTGGCCCTGTCAGTGTTTCATGTTTGCTGGGCTTGAATTTGTTGAGCTGTTAAGTTTTCTGTCAAAGAAAGGTTTCCTATGAACAGGTTTTGGTTTTAGAATGCTTGTGATCCATTTACAGTGGTAATTCCCCCCCTTCTTTCACCAGGCATTGCCTTACTTCCAGTATAGATACTTTAAATTAAAAATGAATGAAGCTCCCAGTCTTTGGTACCAGTTGATTGTTATTTAACATGAAGCACCTAAGCTGTTCATTACACAGCACCTGAGAAGTGCTAATCATGGTGCAGACTGTACTGGTGAAAGCCACTCACATAATAAGGTGATCATTACTGTCTAAAACCTGTAGACCACTGTCTGCTGGTCTAATAAAGAGGACTTGACTTCTTCATTAGTGTCTGGACAGCAATACTGAGCAGTCAGTGATTTGTAGACAATACCAACCTTGCTTTCCCAGAGAGCTTGAAGAAAAACATCTATTTTTGAATAGAGAGGGGAATTTATATTGGGGTTGGAATGAGAATGCCCTTGGGTAGCTAACACAACTGGGCAAACCCTCTCTCATAGACCAGTGCTCTAAAGAAGTTAACAGCTTTGCTTTCTTCTCTTCCTCATCACCTGCACTTCCTGCAAAAAATTAAGTATTTGAAATTGGAAAAACTAACTGCTAATCTCCCCTTCTCCTTCCCAGGCATCCACAAAATGCATGGTATTCATGTAAATTCAGGGGTGGTTTCTGTATTGAAAACTGTTCATATCAGAAATATTTTGTCCCAAAACTTTAGTCTACTTAGGTAAGAAACTTGCATTTTATACTGAATAAACAGGCTTCTGTTTGGTTCATGTTGTAGGCATGGGTTTGTATCACAGTTTGTATCTTAAAGGACAAAGACTTCTCTTGATGCCTTTATTAAATGGGTCATTTAACCTGAAGGATTGGTATAAATGATCTCTGAATTTGAGTTTGCACAACATGATCTTCTACATCAAACTTCTGGTCCCCTCGCTTTAAACTCATAATGTTCTTCTCTTTATTAAAAATGTTCCTCTTTCTAAAAAAAACCACTTGGTCTGGTGATGTGTGGTTGCTGCTTTTGTGGTAACAAATCCTGTGAAGCAAAAAAACATCCCTAACTGCAAACTTTTTATCAGGTACCATCCAAGAAACGAACTGTTACCT